GAGGCACCATTTTTACCATAAGCGGGTATATTGAATCAATATATAGTATACCAAATAATCCGATTTTATACTCTATAGCTAAAATATAAAACATGATATTCAGTTTTACCACAAAATTAATTACCCAATGTACGAATAAAATTGGGACCCATGTTTTCTATAGATAAAAAATAAAAAAAAGACCAAAAAATAGTTATCAAAAATTAATTAAATAGAAACCGCCATTAAACAAACTATTTTGGAGCAATTTTATAAAAAATATAATTGAATAAATCAACCAAATTTACACGATCTTCGTAATTAGGGTATCTTAAAAATATAATTTTATGGTCTAATTATTTCCTTAATTATCCAGGATTTGAGTAATTAAATACACAAAAAATGAATAACATTTAAATAATTGTCATGAACACAATTTTTAAAATATATATTTTTTTAAATTGCATAATTGATTGTTGTTTCTGGTATTTTCATAATTGTAGTAATTATTTGTCGATGAATAAATCAATCGAATTTACACATTTTGCATAATTAAGGTATACTAGTGTGGTACCCGTGCGATGCACGAGTTAGTTTTATTAATGTAAGCATTTAGATTTGGATGATTGGAATAATGTAAAACGCAGAGTAAAACTATATATAAATTATATATTATTAAATACATTCTTCTACACAACATTATTTATTTGGTCTTTTGGTACATTCACAAATTGTATTAGAATTCTAGATAGGCTTAAATAAACCAATTAAATTATTTAGCGTGATATATATGATATTATTTATACTGGTTTTGTGAAGATTGTATAGCACGATATAACTGATATTAAAATGTCTTTCTTGATAATCTATAGCCTTATTACTTTAAAATTGTAAATTACTTAATTTAAGGAAGGGAAAAATCGTGAAGATGTATGCAATCAATTTCAATGTGTATTTGAGAGAATTAAAAAAAAAAACTATATTTTTAGGATGTTCTAATTCGATTTCATTTTGAATTTTAAATAAATATTACCTGACTTTGTTTTATGTTTAAAATAAATCGAACTAAAGAAAGTAGTATGCAAATGATGGATTTTTAAATTTAAATTTTTAATTTGAAATTGGGCACAATTTCTATGCAATTCGATTTTTTTTTTCAATAAACCTGATCCGTCGCAATTAGATAAACAATTGATCTGTTGCACTTAGGAAAATATATATGTGATAGTATTTTGCCTAATCGAAAAATATAAAACAGTTATTAAATAATAAATTACACAATCTATTAATATATAATAAGGATTAACATAATTCACTTTAAGAAACACTTTCCTGCCAATTTCATTAATTATTGTCTAAAAATAGTAAATTAACAAAAATCAATGTAATTAATGTCAATGTTCTAAAAATCGGCCTACGCGGCCGTCTAGACGGCGCCTAGGCGCTAGGCGGTGCCTGGGCGCCTCCGATTTGCACAAATCGGTAGAAAAAATCAGTCAGGCAGCTAGGCAGCGCCTAGGCGGCCTTGGCGGCCAGGCGGTTAGGCGGTGCCTAGGCGAGCTCGGCGGCAATTTATCAGTTTTTTTAATTTTTTTAAAATTTTAAATATTAATTACATTATTTTATTTTCATGTTTTTTTTAAAATATATTAATTTTATTATTTAGACTTAGGTGTGTCGATTTATTATAAGTTGAGATAATTTTATTTTGTAGGTAGTTAAAATAAATAAAAATAAGGTATTTAATATAAAATTTTCTGACTAGACGCCGCCTAGGCCCCGCCTAGGCGCTTGCACTGGTCGAGCGCCTAGCGGGCGCCTAGCGACTTTTAGAACACTGATTAATGTACATAATCTTTTTAGTCAAATATTTATGGTTATTATCTTTATTAGTTGAATTTAAATTTAGGATGATTTAGTTTTATGTAAACAAATATGGGGGGATTATATAAACTTTTGAAATCCTTAGTTTAAATATATAGACTTGATTGATCAATTATAGAGAATTAATCATTGATCTTTATATCTATATTATATTTCTTGCATTGAGTAAAACATAATAAATTAATACTTATGTTATTTTTCATACATCTTTTTGTTGGCATAGTAGAGTTTTAAGATTATCTTTTTATTCGTAGACAAGATAACCAAATACAAAAATATAAATAACATTTATGTGCCGCTAAAAAATATTTTGGACAAAATGTAGAAATGACTTTTAGAAAATACTTAATTAATTTATGGTATAAAGTTGACAAAATTAATAAATCTAATTTTGATATAAAGTTGATGATTTTATTTTAAGTATCTGATAGCCATTTTTATTTTTTCATAGATAATGCGTTGTTTATAATAAATGTCCGATTTTGTGGTATAAAGTGAGTGATTTATTTTTGGTACGAAATGTTCGAATTTAATAGTATGAGTTTTATTTGAAATGGATTGAAGTATATTTAAAATTATTTAAAATAAAATAAGAGCGTTTACAATGCATGAATGTTGTTATCACATAAATTTTGACAAATGTCAATTGTTTATATGGATTGTGAACCACATAATATATTTGTTAAGTTCACAACTTTATATCTAAAAAATTATCTGCGTGCACAATGTGATCAAACATAATATTGTCAATTGACAAAAAATAAAAATAAAAATAAAATATAAATAAGAAACAAAAAATAAATTAATAATTAGATATTTTTAAAAAGATATTCCATAATATTTGATTAAACACTAAATCCGACTATTTGGAATTAATTATATATAAAAGCAATATTATTATGGAACCAAATGTTATGAAATATCTTCTTAAAAACACTATAATTATGATATGAAGATATTTAACCACGATTCAATCTTTTTAATTCAATTCATATCTCTTTTTAGACTTATCAATTAATTTTAATATAATATAAATTTACCGTAAAAATGAGAGTTCTACTTTTCAATAATTATGGTATCAATATTAACAATATAAATGCTAAATAAAATTTAATTATTTGGATTGTACACTTTATTATATACATATAAATAAATCGCTTATTTGAGTTTTAAATATTTTATTTTTTTCATATATAGTTATGCAATATAAGCAACTTAACGAAAAGTAAAAAAAAAAAATATTCTAAAGATTTCATTTCACTCATGGTAACATATTTTTTAAAATTGCCACAATTTTCAATTCACTAATCCACTACTCATGTAAACATCTATTTGTTATAATATACGATTTTCTTTTTATTATTTTGAATCATTTTCTTATCACTTTTTTTATGAAACATATTTTTCATGTAAAAACCGTGATTTATATGTCCTTCGATTCATTTAGTTATTTTTTATCTACAAATGATAAATATCGTTATTGTTTTTTTTAAATGTAATTATTTTTATAAATATATTTTAGAAAAGATACAACCAAAATTTCAAATCTCTGTTAAAACATAACAAAACAAAGCCGTTCTCACTTTTTGGAATGAATTTGGCATAAAAAATGAGAATGATTGACAAAAAAGAAAAGAGATATACTCAAAATCTACACTTTAACTTTAAGGTAACAATTTTCTTTATTCTCGATATAAAATTAAATTTCACAAGATAACCATATATTTAGTATTTATAACATTTACTATAGTTTTATTTCATGGTGGTAACATTATGAAATCAACAAAAAAAATGAAGGAATGAGGTGTCTATGCAATTTACAATTACCAAATGGAGAGCAATTTTGATAAATATCGATTTGCGGTTACCAAGTAAAAAATAATTTTGCATGGAAAAACAAAGAGTTTTTTTTAATAATGTATGATTTTTTCAAGATGATCATTTTACGATTACCTAACAAATGTTCTATGTATTATAACTTACTGATTAATAGCTTTCAATTATAAATTTTACCAAAATAAATACAGCCCGTGCATCGCACGGGGTACGTACTAGTTTAGTTGGTAATTTTTTAACAAATCACATAGTTGATATTACAACCGAAATTTCCATATTTGGGGTAAGCCAACCGAATTTAGATGATTTGAGTAATTACGGTATCTTAAAAATATATTTTTTTATAGCTTAATTATTTCTTTAAATAATGAGCCAAAATTTCCATAGGTGATTATTGGAAATATACTATAAATTATTAAATTAATTTTCTAAAATGTAAATAGATTTTTTTTAGGGAAATAGTTATTGTCTTAAAAACAATCAACACAATAGATTTTGCCTCTATTTTTAACAATAATATAGATATGGGCTTTTCGAGAACGACCCAACATTTCGTTCATACGGCCCAAAATTGGTGTCGCCCCCTCCAAGAAAAGGTTTTATAATTTGGGAATCGTTTCAGTAAATCCCTAAAAAAAGCTTCGTCGTCTCTTCGTTGTGGATCAACTCTTGCGTGAATTATCGGTAAGTTTACTCAAATCTGCGCTTTCTTTCATCTGTTCTTGCTTCGTACTTCGGTAATACGGTATTGATTTTCCTTTTACTCATCGTCGTCACGTTATAGATTACATTATCTTCTCTTCCTACCTGCGCAAATCGAAATTTAGATTCAGATATGAAACTTTGAACTGATCTGTTATCACTTGGTTTGATTACCTCTGCGCGAATTGTATACCTACAACAATCAGGGATAATCCTCTTGATGTGTAGTGTTTGTTGTTCAAATTTTTTGAAGTAGTAAATAATCCATCATCTAGCTCTTGGTGCTGTTACGCGTTTGTACTGAAGCTTCCTTGAATTTCGTAGTGTCAAACCAATTAGTAAAGAAAATGGAAAAGATCTGAGCACACACTTTTAGGTCTTCAGTGATTTCGGATTTCTTGTTCAATTTAAATGCCTAGAAGAGTCTAATGGAGATGGTAGTTTGTCATACATACAGTCTTGCCGAGTAGATATCGCAGATTTATGCTTTTCATATGTTTTGTGTTATTTACATTATCTTTTTTCTTTTCCAAATGTGATTCATAAATCTACAGAACTCCGAATCTTGAAAAAGGAAAAGAGAAAGGAAGTTCTAGAGAATGTCTGTATCTCACGCCCCCGCCACCACCGACTCCTTCTTTGGAGCCTCGGAGGCCAAAACTCCTTCCGAGGCCATATCAATCCTCTACGGGGTGCTCGAGGACCCATCATCCTCCACTGAGGCCCTGCGCATCAAAGAACAAGCCATCAACAACCTTGCGGACCTCCTCCGGCAGGAGGGCCGGGCCCATGACCTCCAGAGCCTCCTGACCAAGCTCCGCCCTTTCTTCTCTCTCATCCCTAAGGCCAAGACGGCCAAGATTGTCCGTGTCATAATCGATGTCGTGGCCAAGATCCCTGGCACATCTGACCTCCAAATCACCCTCTACAAGGAGATCGTCCAATGGACCCGTGCCGAGAAGCGGACCTTTCTCTGCCAGAGGATTGAGGCCTGGCTAGCAGCCCTCCTCCTTGAGAACAAGGAGTATCCGTAGGCCCTCACTCTCCTCTCAGGCCTCATCAAAGAGGTCCGTTGGGCTTATGTACATGCAAACATAGGTTGGCATCTCAAACTTATAGCTATCTTGCAGTACTATGCTTTTAATTCAATTTACACATCCTGAAATCACTTAAGCACTTCCTATAAGGGAGCCAAAAAGGGTTAAAAAGATAGTGTTCGTATTTATTCACAAACGTAGTATAGAACTTCCTTGTTTGTTATTTCTTTCTATGTTGTAAGGACACTTCATTATGTATCACTATTCTGTGTCAGGGTAGTCTGACACAGTTGTATGCAATGGGGTTTCGGAAGACTGGTGTTTTTCCACTGTGGAAATAAGAGTAGGCAAAGACAGCAGAACCAAGTGTAACTGCAGTGGCAATAGAACCCCAAATCCATTTCTGTCTTCTCTTCCTTATTTGCCTAAGTCGCCTCGTCTCCTCTGCAGAGAGATTAAAAAAGATGGACCAAATGAGAATTTTCGCCACTACTAAAAGGATAGAACAAGCAGTATGCAATTTGTATATAGTAGGCAATATTTAGAAAATAAAAAAGAAAATTACAATGTTATAATTGAAACGTATCACCACGAGAGAAGCCTCTAGTGGTATGCATCGAAGGAGGATAACACAGTGATTACATCATTAAACAATTAAAAGAATCATTCGAATAAAACTGTGGATACAGCAGAGCTAGGAACGGAACATTAAGAAGAAATGGACAGCATTTTCAAACAGTGAAATTAAGTAACAATATCAAACTCTACAAATTCTACTAAGGAAACGGAGCGGAACAAAACTAAATTAAACTAATCACTGAATTTTAAAAAGCAAAAGAAAAATGAGAATAATAAATGATTGATATATTCTTCAAAATAGAAAATAGAACCTAAACGTTCATCAACTATGACAGACCATCTCAATTTAATTTCCTTTTAGCATTAAAATTTAGAAGAAAGTATGATAAACGTGCACCATGCATGTTTACATAACTAATTTAAAAGACACGCTTTAGAAAACACACCTACAACTTCTTGGTTCCTCTAGGACATCTCTTGGTTCACGACTTCATAATAACGAAGCCTATCCCACAAACGAGCTATTTTAAAGTTCTTCAACTTTATCTGAGCTTCCATCTCCATTTCAGCCTCAGCCTTTGCGATTCCCTTCCCAATTGAGTTAGCAACAAACCGGGCAATACAGACTTGTTGCCAGACCTCCTCAGCAGGATCGGCAGGATGTTCTCCCTCTAGCAAAAAAGTTTTTAGATCTTCAGGGAGTGTCAAACCCAGAAGAGATAATTTTTCACGGATCCTCTACCACTGGTATCGCATATTACATAAGGTCTCTTCAGCTTGTTTTTTCTATCTCCATCAATAAACTTAGCCTTATCTCACGTAACTCACTCTCGATATCGGGCATCTTAAGCTGAGGGCCGCTCTCTGATGATAATTCTGAGGCAAGAGATGCAAATAAGTAATGAAAGGCATAAGTCGAGATAACAAAAGAATAACTTGGACGGTGTTTCAGGTTTGAGAAATAACTTGAGAAATTATGACAACGGTCTGATTTCACTGCAACACAAACAAGTCAAAAAATTAAATAGCAAATGGAGGTACCTTCCCAAGCATCATAGAACTCAGCTAATGGAGTGCTCAAATTCAGGGACCGATCGGCTCCACCAATACACTCACTTTCACTGATGCTCCTAACACTCATTGAGTCATGTGGATCAGCAAAATCATCATCCTCCCCATCTTGTTGCAAATCAAATCCAGCATCAGACTTCATCATGCCTTTTGGGCCTTCAGGACCATTCTCCGCATCTAAATTTCCTTTCTCATCAATGCCTGTGCCGTTCAAATGATTTTCTCTAGCAATTGATGATACAGTGGCATCATCCACACGAAAAACATCGGGAACCTTCTTAGAAACAAACCCATCATCCTCAGTGGCTCTTGCTGTCAGCTCTTTTTCATCAGTATTCTCGTTTCCACCCACCTTGCCCTCGCCAGCCTCCCGTTCCCAAGTTTCCACATCATACTCAGAAAAGCTCTTCATGAGACGTGGGCCCCGCCGCATGTGGTTGACAATGTAGGGTGACGGGGGGAATGAAGACGGGGAATCAGGAAGTGGGGTCGGCTCAGGTGTTGCGTAGAGTGCCGGGGAGATTTGAGTCCGGTGGTGTTTGTTACCGACAGATACAGATGTGCTTGAAGAACCGTTTATCCTCTTATCATACTTTGAATTATAAGGAATAGGAATCCCTCTCCCCGGATTCCGACTAGGGGCCTCAATTTCCCTGAGCTGGCTAGGGTTTGGAGTGCTATGCCTCCTCTCGATCTTTGAGATGGGTGGATTTGTCGCCGATGGTGTCATGTAATTTGAAGCTCCAGGTTCAAGCAATCTATCGAAAGCTACGGATGTAAACGTCGGCATGACTTTGCAGCATCAAACTATCTGCAAACAGAAATGAAACGCTATGTAAGGGTACATTTCAGAACACTCGAAAAAAGAGAAATAGGGAAATCAGATTGCGCAAAGTTTTGTTGAGAAATTGTATAATCAGCTTGTATTAAAACATACAGGATCAGTGCTTTAAGTTTCGATTTATGCTTCCGGTTAACATTTTCACAACTCATTCACCAAAACACTCTTAACTTATTCTGCCTCTCCTTTCCACTTAAAACGCTACCAACCTCTAATTCTCAACTTTATCACTTCATCTAAATGCAGACGCTTTCACAAACATTCCCTTCGATCGCCAGGAAAAGTAACTAAATGCAAGAACTTCGCTTCAGCCACAAAATGGAATTCACAAACAGGCTCCACAGCTAATAATGTTCTCTCGAAACAAAACGTAATTACCAAAAGAACGGAAAATGTTAAAGCAGGACCAATGATTTATGAGATGGATACATTTCAAAATTGCAGCTACACATAATTTATCAGTTAGGTTATAATTAACCCCAAAACATCTAATTATAATAGGAAAACACATTAAGATTCAAAAGTTAATTATAACCTATCAACCCCAAATCCTTTCCTATTTAATTGAAACAGTAGCTCCCAGAAACCATCCGAACTACAGAACAAAAATTCAGAAGCACGACATGCAGATGCAGGCTTCGAAACACCAACGAAAACGGAAGAAAGCTAAATCAATAACACGCACTAACTAGCAGTGACAGAAAATAAAAAGGCCAAATCAATCGATGCAATTCCAAAGAGAAAGCACAAAAGGCAAGGGAAATTTGGAAAAAAATAAAAAATAAAATGATTCTCACTCACAGGGATTGCTGATCGGAGTATAAGAATTTGATGCGAAAAAAACAATGATGGACGATAATCAACGATAAAAGAAGACGACGACGACGAAGACGAAGAAATCCTTCACCTGAACAGGTGTTGAATTTGCCGGTTGAGCTTCAATTGCGTCGTAAATTGTTAAATTAATTTTTTAAAATAATAAATAATTTTTTTTAAGGAAAGAGTTACTATTTAAAAAGCAATCAAACATATAAGACACAATAGATTTTGTCCTATATTTTTAGCACTAATATAGATATGGGCTTTTCAAGAACGACCCAACATTTCGTTCACACGGCCCAAAATGGGTGTCGCCCCTCCAAGAAAAGGTTTTATAATTTGGGAATCGTTTCAGTAAATCCCTAAAAAAAAGCTTCGTCGTCTCTTCGTTGTGAATCAACTCTTGCGTGAATTATCGATAAGTTTACTCAAATTTTGCGCTTTGCTTCATCTGCGCTTTTACTCATCGTCGTGACGTTATAGATTATATTATTTTCTCTTCCTACCTGCGAAAATCGAAATTTAGATTCTGATGTGAACGAGAAAGTCAGATATGAAACTTTGAACTGATATGTTATCACTTGGTTTGATTACCTCTGCGCGAATTGTATACCTACAACAATCAGGGATAATCCTCTTGATGTGTAGTGTTTGTTGTTCAAATTTTTTGAAGTAGTAAATAATCCATCATTGCTGTGGTCTGGAGCCTATTCGAAGGCGGAGCAGAGCTAGAGGTGGTGGCCTTTGGTCCGTTTCAGGTTGATGTTTGGAGGTCTGCTACCCGGTCGTTTGACGGGCCTTCAACGGTTGTGGTAAGCCCTCTCTCTCTCTGATTTTGTCTTCGTCTGGCTTCCCCTTCGGTTGCTTCGTTGTTCGGGAGGAGCTCTGCGGGGTTGGTTGTTGGGGGTCGGATTGCAGCGGGTTTTGGTGGTGGGTGGTCTGTGGTTAGAAGAGGTCGTGGCTGCTGCGGTGGCCGGGGTGGCGGTGTCGTATCATCCCCCCTCCCCCCTCGTATGGCTAGTGGTGTTAGGCATCCGGGTTGGGGGTCCTGGTCTTCTCGGGCCTGGCTAGTGGTGTTAGGCAGGTTCCGGTGGGATTGGTGGGGTTGGTTTGGTGTCCTCTCGGTTGGAGACGGGTCGATTCGGGGAATAGTTCGGGGCTCGGTGGTGACTACTGTATAGGCGGTTGCGCAGTTTCGGTAGTGATTGCTTGGGCAGGGACTCCTTCTTGTGTCGATCGTTCACTACTGGTTGGGCCTACTAGCTTGCCGGGGAAGGGCTCTGCTCTTTTTGTTTCTTTTGAGTTGTTTGTGTCTGTACTAGGTTTTTGTGCTTTGTCAGTTTGTTCTTGTGTCCGTGTTGTTATTGTGTTTTAGGTTTGGGCCATTTGGCCTCTGTGCGCCCGAGTGTCACCTTTATTACCCTGTTGGGGCCCGACACTCGGTATTACCCTGTTGGGGTCTTTGTGTTGTGTTGTGTTGTGTTTATTGTAGTGTTTTTATTACCCCTTTGGGGTCGTGGTCGTGTAGTTGGTCTGTGTTTGAGTTTTTATTCTAGCGTTGCTAGCGGGATTCTAGGCGGTCTTCTGACATGTCCTCCCATTTTATTCTCCCGTTGGGAGCTTTGTATTTTTATTCGCACTTTGTGCGCGTTTGATTTATAATAGTATCTCTATCGTTCTGGAAAAAAATAATAATAATAATAATAAATGTCCGATTTTATGATATAAAGTGGGAGATTTATTTTTGGTACGAAATGTCCGAATTTAAATAATATGAATTTATTTTGGAATGGATAGAAGTATATTTGAAATTATTTAAAACAAAATAAGAGCATTCACAATGCATAAATGTTGTTATCACATAAATTTTGACAAATGTCAATTGTTTATATGAATTGTGAACCGCATAAGAGATTTGTTAAGTTCACAACTTTACATCTAAAAAATTATCTGCATGTACAATGTGATCAAACATAATATTGTCAATTGGCAAAAATAAAAATAAAATATAAATAAGAAACAAAAATAAATTAATAATTAGATATTTTTAAAAAGATATTCCATAATATTTGATTAAACATTAAATTCGGCTATTTGGAATCAATTATATTTAAAAGCAGTATTATTGTGGAACAAAATCTTATGGAATATGTTTTTAAAAATAGTATAATTATGATATCAAGATATTTAACATCGATTCAATCTTTTTAATCCAATCCATATCTCTTTTTAGACTTATCAATTCATTTTAATATAATATAAATTTACCGTAAAAATGAGAGTTGAACTTTACAATAATCACGGTATCAATATTAACAATATAAATGCTAAATAAAATTTAATTATTTGGACTATACACTGTATTATATACATATAAATAAATCGCCTATTTGAACTTTAAATAATTTATTTTTTTCATATATAGTTATGCAATATATGCAACTTAACTAAAAGTAAAAGATATTCTTAACATTTCATTTCAATCATGGTAACATGTTTTTTTAAAATTGCCACAATTTTCGATTCACTAATCCACTCTCATAAAAACTTTTTTTTATAATATACGATTTTCTTTTTATCATTTATCATTTTCTTATCACTTTTTTTATAAAACATATTTTTATTTAAAAACCGTGATTTACATGTCCTTCGATTCATTTAGTTATTTTTTATCTACAAATGAAAAAATATCGTTGTTTTTTTTTAAACGTAATTAGTTTTATAAATATGTTTTACAAAAGATACAACCAAAATTATAAATCTATGTTAAAACACTACAAAACAAAATCGTTCTCAATTTTTGGAATGAATTTGGCATAAAGATTAGAATGATTGACAAAAAAAAAATATATATATATACACTCAAAATCCATACTTTAACTTTAAGGTAACAATTTTCCTTATACTCGATATAAAATTAAACTTCATCAAATAATCATATCTTTAGTATCTATCACAATATTACAAAAAATGAAGGAATAAGGTGTCTATGCAATTCACAATTACCAAGTGGAGAACAATCTTGGTAATTATCGATTTACGGTTACCAAGTGAAAATAATTTTGCAAGAGCCTTTTAATAATGTATGATTTTTTCATGATGATCATTTTACGATTACCTAACAAATGTTCTATGTATTATAACTTATTGATTAATAACCTTCAATTATAAATTTTACCAAAATAAATACAGCCCGTGCATCGCACGGAGTACATACTAGTGATCAGTTAAGTAACAACCAGATATAGTTCAGTAAATGCCGAATATTTTTTAGGACTTGATTAAATAGTTATTTTGGATATTAGATAAGTGAATAATTAATTAATATCCAGATATAAATTAGGAAAAAGTGAGATATTAGGTAAATGATTAATTAGAGCACCTACAACGCATTGGGTCTCTTAATAAAATATCCTATGTCACATAGGAAATAGACTTAGTCTATTAAAAAATGTCTCCCAATGCAATTAAAAGTGGACATAGTCTAGCTTATGTGGCAAAAAAAAAAAAGAGACCAAGTCCATACTTGAGTCTATTTTGGACCCAAGTACAAACCCAAGCACTTATCATTTATTCCTTATTTAAATTTTCTTTTAATAAATGAAACATATTTGAGCATTTTTATTAGTTGGTAGGTATGTAGATCTAGTATTTTATTTTTTAATTGAATAGCTTGTGAGTTTTTTTACTTGGGTTTATTCATATCATTTAAGACTTAAAGTCTATTTATATGCAACATATGTAATATTAGTACGAATTTGATCTCATTTAGAACGTCTCTTGAATTTAATGAAGCTACGTGCAACTAGAATCATTGAACACAAATTGAGGCAAAATATAGGAACTTATTGGAAATCTTATTTCATGACGGAGAGGTGGGTTGCAATCCTTTTTTTTCGATTTTATGCATGTTGTTATTTATTATAAATGCATAATATTATTTTATACATGTTTGTATTTATATTATTTAAAATATTTATATAGGGAGGTCGTATCATCGTATTGATACGAGCAACCAACATGAAAGTATGAATTAACAACATTCGAGAAGGTAAAGTCTATGGAATTCAAAAGTACCAAGTTGAGGAGAACTTGACTCATTTGACTCACAATTGTCCAATATAAAATTG